TAGGGGGTGGGTTGGTGGGGGTTGGTAGAGATGGAGAATAAAGTGGAAGGTTGAAAAAAAGTTTTGGAAAATATTTTTCCTCTCTTGATGGGGAAAATATTTTCCTCTAATTGGAGGAAAATAAGTTCATAAGAAAAATATTTAAGCAAACCAAATATGAAAAAATTAAAAAATATTTTTCAAAAAATATTTTCCTTTCGTACCAAACACACTCTAAATCTATGCTATTTTCGAGAAATTAAAATCGAAATAATGTATAGAATCCCACTCCTATGTTAGATTGTGAGAGGAGTATTAAAGGCTAGCTCCACCTTATAAAATAGGGACGATTTTGAATAAATCTCAAACTTAAAGGGACTATTTTGAACCTTTTCTTCGGTTTTTATCCTAAACTCAAAAGTCCAAACCCAACGCATCACTCTTCTTCCCACTTCAAAATTGAGTGCAAAGGGATGAATGTAATGGGAGTAGGGGCAGCTAATTGGTTAAAGGGAAGTGGCACATTATTACTTTCTCGCCACACAAATTCAATTACTGCTATTGCTTCACGCTCAAGGCCAAGTTATTGTTCCTCCTCATTATTGCACCATAAAAATAACAATAATAATACCATTTTCAGCACCAATTGTCAGAAGATTGGTCACTGGAACAATCATAACACAAAATTATGCTTCAATTTCTATTGTACGACGCCGTCAAATGTGAGTGTAACAGAACAAGATTCTTCATTAGAGGAAGATGAGGAGACTAAGCTGAGGAAGATTAAGGATGCGGCTAATACATTGGACATTAGGGTTGGGCGAATACTTAAGGCCTGGAGACACGACGAGGCTGATTCGCTTTATGTTGAAGAGGTTGATGTTGGTGAGGCTGAGCCCAGAATTATATGTAGTGGGCTTGTTAAATATGTGCCTCTTGACCATCTTCAGGTACCTGTCCTTATAATGCATCTATTTCTTTACAGCTTGTTTGGATGGTTGTTACATAATGTTTCATAGTGTATCATATTGTATTGGATTATACTGTACTGTACTGTATCGTTTGATGAGTACAATATTTAGATAAATTGTATCGTTTGTCATTGTTTCATGAAGTCACGTACCAGTAGACACGTACTAATTGGAAGAATAAACTTGCAGTATTACAAAGAAAAATTATGCTACGGGGTAGAATTATTATATAAAAAGGTAGGCTAAAGGATTATTTAATAATAATAAAGGGCAAGATAAGAGAAAAAATAAGGTAGCGATGCGACCACACCAAATCGGTTGCATAAAGTGACACTTTTCATCATTACATAACGACGAATTTAACGATACGATACAACAAACATTATATTTAATGTAACAATACGATACAATACAATAGGTAACAATCATCTAAACAAGTTGTTAGTATTTTTAAGTTCTGTGCATTGATAGTATAAAGAATTTTCAACACTATTAGCTAAAATTGGCCTGTAATAATAGGTAATTCTTTCTATCAAGCATGATATGATAACCTGATAAATAGAGTGAGAACTTGCTGTAACGATTAAATTACATTGATACTATAAAATAGAATTTAAAGTGTCGGGGTTGTTTGGTAGCTGGTTAATTATGCAGGGTTCAGCATAAGAATTAATAAGGCAGAGATTAGTTATGCAAAGTTTAGTTATTCCATCTTCTACCCTTCATAAAATAACTTATAATTTGACTGATAACTTATACATGTTTTATTTATGTGGGATTGTAAAATTATAATCTAATGGCTCGGTGTGCTAAATTTTATACGAAGCAACTAAAAAGCTACCAGATATGGTATTAGCTATGCTAGTTTTAATACATGAATAACTCCCTTTCTAAACCCGCAGCCAAACGATCCCTTAATGTATATAATTTTTATCCTATTCTCTAACCCCGTTAGATAGTTGTATAAGGAAAAGTAATTTCCCCTTGAATTCTACATAATTAATACTATGTGAAAATCTGCATTACTAATGTAATAAAACATTATTTGGTTTCTTGTGTAAAACTATGTGTGCTAATCTACTATCTTCTTTTCGGTATTAAACTTGTCATAACTAGTACTGGTGTAGCTTATGTTGGAATTTATGTTTTATTTTATATGAGATGGAATATCGAATAAGAATATGTTTATCAACAATACCTAAATAAGCAATGGTGGAGCCAGGAACTTATATAAGGGGATTAAGAAAAATACTAGAATGTCAAAATTATGATTCGAACTTGTGATCTGAAATAACTTTTGAACTTGCTTACCACAACACTAGAATTTTCTCTTATATTAAGGGGATTCAACAGTTTATTTAATTTTTACCCTATTTGCACAGCATAATTTTCGATAAAAGGGGATTCTATTAACCCCCTTGACCCCTTCCCTCTTTACTAGCTCCGCCGTTGTGGATAAGAGTATTTTTAAAGACAGATGGCCTTAAAGTAGGCAATCCCTGCATTACAATCCATTTATTATAATTCATCGTATTACAACCACTATATTACTATTCGTTGTATCCCAATTTCTGCATTATTACACGCCGCATAACAGTCCCTGTATCATCTGCCTGCATAACAAGTCTGTGAACCAAATCTGCCCCGGTGTTTTAGCTGGCAACCGGAACTGAAATCTTCATTTTGTTACTCTTATGCCTCAACCAGTCAGCCATTGCCTAGGGACGATGTTGCTCTTCAGTTATTCCTTATTCTGCATCTCTTACTCCAGCAAATATTTCTTTGTACCAAAGCTTTTAGATGAGCCCTTAAAAGGAATCTTCATTTTTGCAAACTCAAGCAAAACATTATTTCGTGATTCTGAATATCTGATGCTCTCTTATTCACATGACAGCAAGTTACCTTCGCATTGACATGGAAAATGGTCCACTTATCCTCCTTGAGATGACTAGCTCACAATAAGCCATCCACTCTGAATCTTGTCTAAAAATGAAAGCACTTGCTTCTATAGTAGCTATTTTTACTACATGGCTGGTTCAAAAGATACCGTGACTATCTGTTTTCCATTCCATTGCCTACTCGGTGATAGTTAACCAGCTAACGGTGCAACCTGGCTGCTATCATCCGGCTTACAGAAGTTCCCAAGAGAAGTTTCTAGTCAGCTAACCCTTCTCAAATGTGGTTATTCAATATTCCTCTACAAATTATTGCTCATGATTTTGTCCGTCTTTTGCATACTTCAACAGTTAATAACATAATAGACTGCATAACTGCTCCATGCAAAGTTTAACCTTTGCATTATCTAAGACTGCAAAAGTGTCCTTGATAAAGTTATTCTGACCTTTCGTGGTGCCCTTTCTCAAATTACTTCATTTCAGATAGTCTCGTTTCAGGTTGCGCCTGTCTATTAACTTTTATGCTTAGTTGTATAAGGAGAAACAATAATTTCCTTATACAATGATAAGGAAAAACAATTTCCACTTATATTTATGGCAAAGTAGGAGCATATGATATTTATGCTCCAGCTCGAGGGGGAGTGTTAAATATGGCAAAAACCTATACTATGTAAATATGGAAAGATTCTCACATCCTCGTAATTAGGTAATTAGGAGATTTTCTAGCAATGTAATTACTGGCCTTTAATCTTTTTTCTTTATTTGTAATTCTTGTAAAGGTTGTTTGAACCCCAATGGCTTGAGGTTATAATCAAGCAACCTATTCTCCAATTCTTCTCTTCTTTTCCTGTCTTCACAGAGGCATCTCAAAAGGGTTGGACTTTGGATCTTTGTAAATCCTAGCGGATAGGTTTAAATGAAATCACTTGCTTCAAGTATAATAGGAGCACTTTTCTGGTCAAACTGGAAAATAGAACTTTATTATCAGTTTTTTTCTTGGGACCACTCATTTATGATTGTTTGGTTCAGTCTTTTCTCTTTCCGTAATTAATAATATGCTGGTTTTTGGCATATCGTAAGAATAACAAAGCTTGCTTATGGTGTGTACATTATAGTCAGTGGCGGATCTAGAGTGTATTGTATGGGTTCCCGGGAACCCCGTAACTTTTGCATAGACCATGTATCTTTTATTAAAAAATTCATTAAATATCTATAAATATCTAACTGTGAACCCAGTTATTATTGTATATTAATTTGAGATTACAACAGGAACCCATGAATTTCAAATTCCGGATTCGCCTCTGATTATAGTGACTCTGTTTCTAACACTCCTAAGCTTCTAAAGTCCATCAATAGTGGGCTGTTTAAGATTCTTACACTGCGTAATTTGAAGAAAACATTTGATGCATGCTGCAACATGCAGGAAAGGAATGTGATTGTTCTTGCAAATTTAAAGCCAAGGAATATGCGTGGTGTCAAGTCAAATGGAATGCTGATGGCAGCATCTGATGCATCTCATGAGAACGTGGAACTTCTTGAGCCGCCTGAAGGCTCAGTACCTGGGGAAAGGATATGGTTTGGTTCTGCTGATGAAAAGGAGAATCTCCCTGAGGTGGCAACGCCCAACCAGGTAAAATCTCCATTGTAAAGTTTGATTGCCTATAAGAGGTGGTGCACTAGCCTAAAAGCCAAGAGGCTTCTATGTGTTATTTTATTAACTTGAAGCAACTAGTCTATGCTATGAGGTTAGTGAGTTGCGGAGGGGAGGGCAGTGCTTTCCTCTATTATCGCTCATTTGACTTAAGGTGACAGTCCAGGTTAAGTTTTTGACTGTTTATAGGTTACATGCACTTGTGATTCAGGTTTTAAAGAATAATTGCGTTTACAGGCGTGTCAAACTCGGAAGGAAATCTTTTGTTTGCAGAAGTTACACTTACCTCGCTTCTTAGTGTTTCTGGACCATCAGGAAAGAACTATTATGCCAAATGGTTTTCTCCCCTTGTATTAAACTAATGTTTTTGGATAAGCTCTTTGTTTCTCCTGCTTTGTTTTAACTAAAAATATCCAATATGTTCTTGGAACTTGGGAAGACAGAAAAAAGAAATAGTAGGTTTATTACCCATTTCTCTCTGCTGCATATGTCCTATATATCTGTTCTTCCATCTATTACTAGATGCCCTCTTTCCCATAGCTGTATTTGCAAAATTATAAAGTGCGGCCTATCATGCGTTTCTTGGAGTCTGTCTTACAGATGCTTATCCCGCAGTTTCTAAAATTTTATACTACATGTTTACATCTTAATGATTATGGGGGAAAACCCTTTTGTGCGTTGAAGATCTGCAGTTTCCTGAATTTGGAATTGGATGGAATTATATTTAATCTGTTAAGATGGATATCTGTTAGAATTTGCACCTTAAGTCTTTGTTACCATCTCAAAAAAAAAAAAAAAAAAAATTGCACCTTAAGTCTTCTTCTCGAGTTGCTAAGAATAGGGTAGTGTTTTCCAGAAAGAGCTAAGTAGCTTGTCTATAGGTTTCTTAATAGCACTTTTTATTAAAAGCTTTATAGTGTATTGCACAGGAGTAAGCATTGGAATTACCGACTCCTATCGTGTTTGCTTGCTTCTCCTTTTGTTAAAGAGAGTGTTGTGCTCATCCCTATAGTTACATTTTTTTGTTGGATGAGGAGGGTGGAGGGTAGTTTATTTGCGTTTTTGGGCTGATGACGTTCTTCAACTGTATACAGGTAGCGAAGAAAAAGATTTGGGAGCTAGTACAACCACATCTAAAAACAGATGGCGCTTGCGTTGCTGCACTAGGAATACATTCTATGCGAACTTCAACAGGTGTGGTGGTCAGCGGATCTCTTAAGGATGCAACAATATCATAATTATATCCTAAAGTTCATGCAGTTCTCTTAACATCCTGCACGTTATGTTCCTATCTGCCATTCATTGTTATCATCTGTTCTAAAGGTTCATGGTCTTCTCTATTTTACTAAATAAATCTGTCTCCCTGTTTGGAAGAGTGAAAATGCTAGAGAAGGTTGGAGAGACTTTGGACCATTTCCTTGGGTTGAGATGGGAGAATGAGAAGTAAAAAATTTGGGTTATCCTTGTTCTGGAAAGAAAACTTGTGGGCTCAACAGAGATATTTCTCTTCCTTTTCCATTTAACCAATTTGCTTGCCAAGTGAGGAAAATTTTAAATCATTAATAAGCTATTATGTTCAAGGCTTGTCGAGGACTGGGAGCATATACAAATAGCATTATATATCTGACCTATGAATTAGCATAAACAAGGAGGAAAAAACATAATTGTGCAATATTTTAACAAAATTTACAAAAGTTTAGAAGTATGACGTAATTAACAAATGTGGCAGCTAGCCAGCTACATATTTGTATTCTGCGACATCCTAATTCCTAAACAACTCTTTTCTACTTTTTCGCCCGGTCCATAACTTTCTTCCTAAAAATTAGCTACCATAACTTTCTTCCTTTTCCATTATATCAGATATAGTGTCTATGTATAGTCGAAACACATAAAAATGATTTTTTTCCTTCTTAAATAGTTAAAAAGTTACAATTCTACATATTTCATGCATAGTTTGATAAGATGTGTATTTTTTAATAACAAATATACAATGTATAATAGTTATATAATAATTTATTCTAGACACTTCAGATATGTTTATGAAAATGATATGGAGATTTTATATATTGTATAATGCTAGTATAATTAGAGGTGGAGCCGGAATTTGAAGATTATGAGTTTGGAGTTCTAATCCTTTTAAGTTACTGTGTTCTAAAGTAATAATTAATACATATTCAATGAATTTCATAAGATAAATATAGAATTTGGACCAAAGCAATTGGGTTCGACCGAACCATAGCTCTGCCCCCGAGTATAATAATAGTATTTTGATGTTCAAATGTGTTATGTACAGTATTTGCAAATTATATATATGGTATAATTTTGGTAAAATAATAATATATGGTATTATTCTAGTATTATAATGGAATTTGCTTTTGGATGTGTTTTTATATAAGTTAATTTCTAATGTTATACATGGAATAATAATTATATAATTATAGTATCATGATTCATGAGTTATGCATGGATTGTTTTAGATATAAAAGAATTTAGACCATACATATACTTCAAATATATATTTTATATGTACTAACATATTTATTCCATAAATTTACCATAAATATGCAAATGTTATCTTATTTATAACAAGAAATATAACGATAAAGATCAACATTAACCGAAAATATGTCATCACTTGATAACTCTTTGATTCAAATCACTAAAGCAGCCTGATCCAATTCTCCTTCCCCCAAATAAGAGAAAACTGAAAGGATAAAAAAGGAGAAAAATAATACATTATAAAAGGAAAAGAAATGGAAATAGATGATTTTCTTTTTTGTTTTGAGAAGAGGCATAAGATAATAAATGCAATCCCTAATTTTGTGGAAGAGAGATAAATGAGTTCAGTTACGTACTACTAAAGGGATATAGTATTTTGTTTGAATATGATACATTTGTTATAAAATCTGCTATTATTCAAATAATCGAAAAATGGTAATATAGATATAAATACTTTTTTATTAATGACCTATAATGTTAAAATCTCAAACAAAAGAGCTACCCACACCCATTGTTTGACCACTCGGTCTTTAATCAATAAGCATTCACACCTCAATTTTGTTAATTTGGTATGAAATACCTATGTGCATAAGTAGTTTTTTATTTTTTCCAGATTAGTTTCTTCCCCTAATAGAAGCCACCACAAATAAACAGATTTCGGGTAGCTCTTAATCAATAAATAAAAGAAGCCAAGAGCCACCAGCATTGATGTTTCATTTTTGAATGACATTATAGTAGATGTTGCCTTTAACCAATTAGACAACACAATGTCCCTCAAAACTCTTTCAGCGAACACTAAATATTGGATTTTAAAATAGAAATATTTGCGGAATCACAAATTGGCACCCGAAAAAGGGAAGCTTTGAGCAATCAATGAAAATTCATGACCCCATTCTGCAAACTATGTTATAAAGCCAGATCGAGTATGAAATAATTAAGGTGAGCACATCAATTTAACTGCAGCGGATCAATCCATGGACATTTTTTAGATGGAGATCATTTGAAGAAAGACTTGGAGTGGTGTTGAATGAACCAACTTGTCTCTCATGACATTTTTTAGATGGAGATCATTTGAAGAAAGACTCTTTTCCCTGTCCTATTCGCCTCCTATCATCTGCAAAACAGTAAGTGTTATTTTGCAAAAGATGAAGAAAGATAGAGAGAGAATTTTGAAAACAGACACCAGAAATTTTTGGTTAAAAGAAAAAGAAAACACTTGTTTTAGTTTGCAAGAAAACCCCTTATGCTCTCACGATATACAAATAACTATCTTGAAGTTATGGAAGAATGTGGTGTGACAATTTGTTTTGCCACCTACCTAGTGGCAAGAGCATTTTACCTATAGAAACTAACTCTATAAGGCTTGTTTGAATGAACAGCTGGAAGGTTAAGAACTTAAGTAATTTGATCACTCACATCGAATAGGTCAAACTAGATTGAGTGGTTTACAAGGCTTTATGTTTCTTCTCTAACTACATGGATTTAAGATTTTGCGTGAGCTAGAATCAACCTAATTCAGTAAGCGAAAATGAAAACCACCCGGTCATACAGCTAGTGGTTGGACTCAGGTTATAAATGGTTTAAAGTGAGAATCAATAGAAGCACGAAGCAAGTCTCTTGGGGTCCAAGTGCTACAACCTGCATGTGCGGTGTGGGAGCCATCTCACTGGGACTAAGTGCAATATCGTGAACAGTGGGATGCACAAGCAATATCGTGAACAGTGGGATGCACATTGTCTAGGCACCTAGAATCTCATTTCACCTAGAACTGATTAAAAAAAGGGCTTTTTTCATTTTTGTTCCGCCGACCAAAATTAATTACAGGCGCTAGCCAACATATACGTTGATTATGTATATTAGATTTATATTATATGTATATTTAACAAAACATATACGTTTGCCGGCTGTTATTTTGGAGGTCGGCCCAATAAATTAATTATCCCTAAAAAGAATATCTCACTTCACCTAGTGATCCAAGGTTGAACCAGCACAAGTGTGAGACCAACATCTAATTGTTATGGGGACTAACTGCTAAACTGTTAGCAATGGGAGCCATCTAGGGGAGCTACATCTAGAATCTCACACACCTATATTTAGATTGAGCCTAACAAAGACCAAGGCTTTCATGAAGAAAAATGTGATCCCATGTCCCCATTGAATAAGTACGACTCCTAGTGCTTTTATAAGGTTTTAGGTTCTTTAATACTAACAACACAGACTTGTCTTTTTCGAAATGAGGAGAAAATCAGCTGAGTGAATGAAGAGGGAACCACAACTTGATTGCAACTAGTTGGGCCCTGCACTTATATCTAAGCTGCTGCATCTGTTGGTGAACATCCGTTTCCCTATGATTCCACCAATATGATAATGGAAATGACGTCACCACCTCAAATTAAGAAATTTCTCTCTATTCTCTCAAACATATTATGGCAAGTTGTGGGATAACAATTGAGAAAGTTGATACACGCGCACACAGATTTACAAAAGTATTAATACAAGCACACTTAAGCCTCCCAAAAGTCTAGCCAATCATCTATCCAAGCCCGAATTTCCTGTTTATACCAAAGATACAAGGTAGACAACGGAAAAAGTTGCTGATCATATTGAAAGGGGAAGTCCGATTCATCATAGGATCAGTTTCATAATAGGATAAGTGGTTCTGGTGGAAACAGATTTTGATGTTCATACTGGCAATTAAAGCATGCTTCTTGTTATTGGAAAAAAGAACCGTTTCATTTTCCTCTGTAACTTTTGGGAGGTTAACCGTATATGTTCTAATTTGCAAGGACCCTAGAGGATGGGTTCTCACAACTAAAAGAACACAAGAGGATACGTGTAATTAACCCTTTCCTTTTTGTCAGTAAACTCTTAAATTGCAAAAAGTTGATAATATTATATTACCTTGAAGATATCTCCAAACATGCCTTGAAGAGGATTTTTACGCTGTACGCCATAGAACTTCTTCGCAATTTCATCTAGCAACTAAACCACAGAACAGAAAAATGTGAATTAGGAGGAAAACCAGCACTCTAACCTGACGGAGAACAGTGTTATTAATAAGCACAAGAAAAACTACAAAGATAATCATTTATCATAAAGAATGAAGGAAAGCACATGACTCTCATATACAAAGCGCTTACCTCATTTAATAGAGGATCTCTATCAATACTAGACTTGTAGCTCTGTCTCAACATGTTAAAGAGAGGTAAAGCATCTCTCTGCACCCTGAAATATAAATTGCATTGTAACATAGTCAATTAATTGGACTTAAATGAAGTAAAAAACATGTGGATGAGCACAAGGCCTCAAGGCTGGTGCAGAACATATTTGGGTTGGGGTTTTTTTTTTTTTTTTTGGGGGGGGGGGGGGGGGGGTGATTAACAGAAGGGATATTTGTCGAATTCTTGAAAATGGACAGCTTAATAATGTAATAGTCAAGGAGCATGAAAAAGAGGCTTCAGCAACAGCATATGAAAGATGAAAATAAAATTTTACTTTTAACACATCAAAAGAAATGTATTCAGAAAACATATTAAGACTTACGTCAGCAAAAGGTAGTTGACAAACTGCATTAATTCTGACTGAGGAAATCCAAGATGCTTCGCCTGCATTTCCTTTTCCACTTCTTCCATGAGCTTGTTCGCATCTCTAAGGTTTCCTAGAGACAAGTACCTGCCAAAGGAGAATGAAAAATTGCAACTGTAAGCTCAACCTGCAGTTAAAAACTAAAAGGCACACAGAAGATTCTTAATTGAAATATTAGACAGATAGCAAATTTAAACAGCTAAAAAACATATTCTAGTTTATGGCTTTCATCATGGCCTTATTAAAATTGAAAGGTAATATGCATAAGAAGAATGTTTCAAGATGAAAATATAGAAAAATTTGTGTCCAAGTGTATTTCTTAAGAAGCCTTGTCACATAGCTTGCATTCTGGTAGCCCATTTCTGTTCCGTATACTGGAACAAACTGAAAGTCAGTAACTCTGGTTCCAAATATGCACAAAGATTGAATTTCAAACCTCTTATTAGAAAGTTAAGCATTATGTAAGTATGTTTTCAGAAACATTACACTGAAAGGGGCAATAATATGCAGACCTACAAGTGTGCAAATGCTCAGATAACTGCAAATATTTACTGACCCGGTAGTAACTGTAACGTTTAAAATAGTCTCTCTTTTTTTAAAATAGTTTACTGAAATATAATGCTCCTAATATGGACCAGCACAAATGGGATAAACTGGGTAGAACAGTAATTGAATGCAAGGCACTTATTCATATTACAACTCTGCTTACATCAAAATTGCCCGGGCAATAGCCAAATCATCCTCTCCTGGATAGCACTGCATATTAAATTGTATGAATTATATTAAAATTTCACATCTATCATAGAGCATCATTAAGTCAATATCCACAAGCAACTTCAAGAAATTGTTACTGTGCAAAAGAAAGAAAACCAGAAAAGAAAGACTCTTTCCTTGGAAAACTTTGAATAAACAGGAAAGAGACATAGAGAACATGGCAATCCAGCTTTTGGACCTTGTAATATCTGCTCATGACATCTCGTTAGCAAAAAATCACGGAACCAGTGCTTACCTTGCCCATGAAATTTATGATAGTTGAAGCAAATTTCTTCAGATTCCTTCCTCTAACAAAATGAAAAGATACTCAAGAAGTATGTAAGGAGGTCTACTGCAATATTAATGATTGGCTAAATTGACTTGAAATCCAATTCCGCTAATTGTCATCTATTAGAAGCCCCTATCCTTTTCTAATGTCAAATAGCAAAGTACTGTTTGAAAACAATAAGACCACTACTGGTAAAGATATTGCAGTCATGATATGCATATATTACAGCTACTACAAGCGAGTCAATAAGTCAATGCGTCATGCTTTCCGGAGAACGTACCACTTCGGTAGATTGAGAATATATATAATCTGCCAGCATCTCATGCAACTCTGGAGATCCATACCTATGTGCACCAAATTCTGCTGACCACCTATAAAAAAAATAGCATTTTGTCATCAGAAAAGATACTAATATGGATGAGATTATAGAACATTTAAAGAGGAGGACAACATGTCCTCGCTTAATAAAACAACCAAGATAATCTTCTCCAAGATGTCTTAATCGTGTATGAGCTCTTATAAGGAGACTGGCATAGCTGTTACTAACCCTTGACAGAAATTGCCACAGGAAAAGATTGCAAGATGAGGTAATCTTTACTGTTTCACATGCAGTAACAAAGAGGCGAAGGGAGTATTTGAAATGTCTTGCTGGAAGTTTGCACTGTGGAGTGGATCCTCCAGAGATGTCTGCAGAATGGACAGTCCAAGTGTTGAGAGGGATCTGGAATTGAAGGTTTGAATTCTAGGGTACTTTTCTTTTCCATCAAAACGAAGACCGAATAAGTTATGGGGGGTCAGGTCTTTCTTTGATGGACCAATGGTCTTACTAATAGGATGCGCAGGACTGCTTTTTGAAGAAAAGTACGGAAAGATTTAAATGAAGAGTACCCAACCGATTATATAAAAAGTCCAGTGCTCCTTCTGGAGATCCAAATAATATTTTTGCTAAGTTTTTTAATTTTTTTTTCTTCTATCAAATACCCAATAAGTAAGGTACAAATTAACTAAAATCCAAGTCCCTAGTTAAAAGAAAACTCGATAGCAGATCCCTGGGAGTATAATACACATAGTCAAAATGTTCAACAGCAACAGAATTCGAGCAGCTAAAATGATATGTTTTTTAAGAATTATACGAATAAAAGAAACATGGAGGAATTTGTGAAAGGGCCAGAGAGAGAGTATCTAACTTGATAGAGGCTTTTAAAAAGGAAGAACAGCATTCAACTCGGGTTTTGGCAGCCGCAATGGCTTCAGAAAGTTTTTGCATATCATCATCATCATCATCATCTGCGAGGTCCAAATTTTGTGGCACTGAAGGTCGAGGAAACTTCTCGTAGATTTTCCTGACACGGTCTAAGGAGAATTGCATTATAATCAAGTCAGGAAATAAAACTACTTATTAAGCATCAAATCAATAACAGAAAAAGACGAGCGGTATAGCTGAAGTTACACTTTATGATACAGCAATGAAGTGCATAAGGATTTAATTCATGCTAGTTAAGTTTTAGGACATTTTGGTTGTTTTTCCCTTAATCATTTGACGAAACATAGTCCCCC